CATTATAATAAATGAAATACAATATTTAATGTCTCAGTATGATGACGATACTGCAAAAAAAGTAGATGAGTCTGAAAAATCCCCGAGAGCCACTATTGAGGAATTGAATCATTTTAATGCACTCCCTGGGCTAAAAATTAATCCCTCAATTACACAATCAGTTTCGATGGATAGCAAGAAATACTTAATGAAAAATTATGTTAAGAAATGAATTTTCTTTGGACACTTATTAATTAGATTTAAACCTTTAGGCATTCATTTTGTTGTTGACCTGACCAATCACAGGACGAAAGACCACCTTTAAACAATCGTTCAATGGTAGCTTAATGGTGACTTAATGGTGGCTAAAAGAAATTAATTCCTTTAAGCTACCTTTAAGCTGTAACTTACAGGTGCTTAATGTCAAAACTTCATTAAACTTCCATTAAGCCACCTTTAAGCAGAACTTCGTGGTGATTTAATGGTCAAACATCCTTAAACCACTTTTACGCATCTTATATTGAATCTTTGAATTAACTTGTTACACTTAAGTTAATATAAGTTCAATATAATTTACACAAAATCTATTTCGATGCATAATTCAATCTCGATCGTCATTTATTTATAACATTTTTGTCAACATGAATAAACTTGGGCACTGAGAACAAAGTTAGCTAATAGCCACAGGGTCTTGTTCTCGGTATCCGATCATATCAATATTACTATTTAAAAAAGGAATCATTTACAGTCAAAATAAATACAAGACATGTTTCATCATTACATTTTATAATCTGTTTTTTTAATGAATAATTATTACACGCAGGAAATTAGCCCCTGTGAAATATCATAATTTTTCAAAACAGAAAATAAATTTCTTTAAATAAAATATGGAATTTGTATTTCATTTGTTAAAAGCAACATTCCGTTACGTTACAGAATTCACAGGAATATAAAGTCATGTTCTCATGAAAAAAAAAATGTCTTTTTTTGGGGGGGGAGGGGGGTTCCAGTATAAAGAAATGTTTAGTTTTCAAAGATTGACTTTTACAACATGAATAATTTGAATTAATTTGTGGTAAAAAGTCATTATTTTTTAAACATGTATAATGCAGCGGTAAGTATCTGTCAAAATATAATGGGTCTTCAATGATCATTATTTCAAAACTGATTTTCAGAAAAAAAAAACAGCCGATCAGATTAAACATGACATTCGACCATTTTTATACACTTTGGGAAACGGAATAAGATTAACAGTGTACAGTATACCGACAGGTCAGACAAAAGACCTTAATTAGGTGTGTCCACCGTCTCCGTGCCATATTCTTTCCTGATTTATAAAAGTTATATACTTAACTAATATTTAAACCAGTTTCAAAACATCTTGATGACATAACATTTTTCGGGCACAATAAAGCTAAAACCATGCCTTCTTCTTTATTTATGTAGGTATAAAAGCCTTCTTCCTTCAATGAATATTTATTTCATTTGTGTCTTTGCGCGTATTGTTCATGCATATAAATTACTTTCACATAGTAAGGATTCCTGACATATTAACTAGAATAAATTTCAACTGCCTTTTATAGTTCCATTGTTTATTGTAAATCTCATTTCTAAGTTAGCTCCGCCAATTAAATTAATAAACCCCGCCCACCGGGATCGCTTGGACTGCTCTGGGACCTCTGTAGGACTGCTTAGCAGTCTCAGAAAGCAGTCCCCGGGACTGCTCTGGGACTGCTTTGTGTCATATTGGGTCTAGTCGGTACTGTATGGGGCGAATTATTATATATATATTTTTTTTTTTGGAATTACGTTCTTTTTTTTTTTATTTTTATCAAATCAAGATATGTGTAAACTCGACATTTCTAAATTGTCCTAATAAATCATTATCAATTTTTTTTCACCCCCCCCCCAAAAAAAAAAATGTATTATCGATTGCATTTCATCTTGTAAATATTCCAAATCTTAATTATGACATATAAAAATCAAAAGTATCATTAATCAGTGGAAGAAAAGGGATATCTCACGTATTTGCAGGGTTACGCTGATAAAATCTCTATTTATCTCACAAATGAACTATCCCTTTTATCTCTCTTACCAACACCCTCAACCAAAATTCATAAAGGTTTATATATTGTTTTGTTTGATTTCTTGTGGAAATACAGGGTGTCCCATAATATATGATACCATTTCATGTATTAGGTGAATAAAATTAAAAGAAGGCTATCCAAATAGAGGCCTGAAAATGATTAAACTTAATGATTATATCAAAGTTCTGAAATCGTTTTTGATTAAAAAATTACTGATCAGTCAAAATTCAAAATTGAAAATTTTATTAAATGAGAATTTGATTGCGGAAAAAAGCTTAAAACTAAATCAGATAACATATATGATATATTACACCATATAAGAAACCTGTTTTGGAAAGATGCATTCACTGCTTTACGAGACATTCAAGATAAAATGAATACATGTATTAAAACATACAGTGTAGCTTAATTTTGAAACTCAACAAATTTGGTTTAATAATAAAAATAAAATTGGAAAAACTTCTATTTTCTTCACTGAATGGTATTATAAGAATATTATATACAAGGGTTAACCCAGAAAACACGAACTTTTTTGAATACTCCAAATACTTTTAAACCAAAACTAATAATTTTTGCATGCAGATGAAAAATCCTTTAATTCTATTTGAAAAAAAAAATAATATAGGAATATTATGTCATATGCATATAAAAACATCATTTATATGATGTTTATTATCTGTGGTAGGCTAACGACATTTTTTGACTTTAACAAATACGTACATAATAACGTTATAAAGTGGTAACTCTTGTACAAAAAATTATTTATTTTACATCATTAATGACAAATTCAGGACGATATGTGCCAAGCAATTTTGATTTAAAATTGTCAAATATTGTGACGTTAGGCATTAATGTGGAACACCAAACTGACGAGCAACACTATGTTAAATAGGATATAATTCCTCTTCATGGGGAATATGGGTGTAACGATGAAAAACACATGCATATGTATGGGAAACAGGTTTATCTCCGGTTGAAGGGGATTGAGGTTGTCCTGGCTGATTATCCGATCGAAGAGAATTTATCACGTAAATAAAGAACTTAAAATATAAGAGCAGGACGTCGACGTCATAGGCCTACTTGAAGACCGTTGTTGATGAATTCGATCAGTTAGATTTATGATTGTGAGATTTTCTATCGAAAGAATAAATCCCGCTATCATTTGGCAACAATAGTATAAGATGTATAAATCGGCGTCGAATGTATGCTTAGATGAATTTTTAAAAGCACAGTTTCCAGAACAAATTTACGAACACAAGCTACGGAATACTTGTTGACGTTCTCATTGTTTCGCCGACATCTGATTTGTTAGATACTATTTATTGAAAAAGATGTTCTACCGTCAACTTCCCTTACTTTTGCAGCAATATACCTTCATCACCTGCATACGGAGTATATATATCACAGTTGATTCCATACACAAAAGCATGCTCTATGCATGAATTTCTAAAACGAGGTACATTATTGACATGCAAGTTGATGAAATAAAAATATCAGCAGTCTTGTTTAAAGTCATAAAGTTCTATGGTCAATGCAATGACCTTGTCAGCAAATACAATTTATCATTGGGTCAAATGTTGATTGACGTGATTCATCTAATTGTTAGTCCATTGTTTATACACTGAATTGATGATGGATTTTTTCATAATTTCCCGAACATGACAAGGAGCCCACAGCGGGTGTGACCGGTCAGCAGGGGATGCTCACTCCTCCCATGATACCTGATCCCACCTCCATGGCACCTGATGTTTTAGAGGTCCGTGTTAACTCTGCTCCTATCCTGTATTTACATTGACTTTGATATCGACTACTCTTTGTAATCTTCAAATCCTTCTTCCTGAGAGCAAAATTTTATTGATAGAGAGAGATATTTTATTGAAATAAGCAAAATTAAAAAAAATGGTCATGATTTATGTCAAATCTGAAATTTATAATCCTACTGAATATATAGATGATGTTTGCGTTTTTCTTGGACAACCCTCGTATATTAATGATTTGCTTGATAGAAATGAGGTGTTTTTGAGTTTACGAGGTCTGCAGCAAAAAATTTACATTAAAATTAATTTTCTTACATATAATGTACATATATAATATAAGACCAATTATACTATTTGATATAAAACTATTATGTTTTTCCAGAAAAGGTACTAAGGCTGTGTATGACACACAAAAAAAAACAGAAAAAATCAGCTACCTTTTATCAGTACTAAAAGTACAAAACTACAATGGTTACAATATTGAATTAACAATCAAATCTTTACCACTAACGTATTCCTGTTTAAAGTGGAGATGAAAGATAGTGAACTGTATAATTCAGCTGAAGAAACAGTTTTTCATATACCGTGGTCGTGCTGTTCAAGATCTCATTAATTTATTTTCTGATTTCTTTTCAGAATAGGGATATTGTTATTCCAATTGATTCTGTTCTTTTTTTTTTGGGGGGGGGGGGGGGGATTACATCTTGTAAGACTAGTAAATATTCACAATACTTATATGAACTGTTTTATTTTTTTTCTCTCTAGAATATTGTTTATGAAATAATTTTACGAAATAAATCATGAAAGAAGGCTTAAATAAAGTAATTTCGGTTATATTGTAGTCGTATTATACTGTCTTTTATGTCTCAAAATATTGAATAAGAAACCAACCCTTTCTATTAATAATGCAAGATTATTAAAGCTTATTATTATCTAATTATTCAAAAATGTATAATTTTAATAAATCAAAAAAAAATGTTTCTGTGGAAATGTCGTAATGTTACAAAAAAAAAAAAGTGCTACGTGTATTTGATACGCTCTTTTCAGCTATCCATTTGGCATTTTTGCCTTTAGGTTGGTTTTAGTATAAAAAAGGTTGTTTGTATACCAAATGTTTTTCATACAAGTGCAATCTTATGAGTATTTCTCAATACATTGTTAGTATTTGTCTATTTAGGACTACACTTTCCCATCACTGTCCTGTGGTGATCTGTCACTGAAAACAATGAAGATAGTTGTCACCTGTCCATCAAAAGAAGATGAGAAAACCCAATTAGCTACAAACAAAAATTGTGGGAGATACTGGAACCTTTACAAACACGAGTGTAAAGAGGATCCTTTGAATTTTCAATACCACTGCGTTATCAATAGTCATGGAAATGAAACAATTGAAGTGTGCGCCATCAAAACAAAAATACATGGTACGTTTATTTGGATTAAATTATTTAGATAAAAAGCACATAATTTAAAAGACGCAGTCACACAGTGCTAAGCTTTGATTAGAAATCAGTTACGGGAGTAAGGTTAAAATTGGCACAGATGATGTTATTCAACCAAACAAAAAGGTGAAAACTGTTTGTGTTTGGTATGATCAGATCAGACCATTTTTATGATATTGCTATATTATTAGTCTTCATACTATTGATAACAAAGGTATACAAAACATTTAGATCGATAGGAGTAAAAATAAAGCATTTTATTCTCTTCAAATCTCTCAATAATTTCGACCACTTATATAGAAAGAACAGTGCATCGATTATATCAATATGTGTGCTTCATTTAAATAAATTCTGAGACTTCATGAAACTTGATGTCATAAAATCATGAAATATCATTCATTTCTTCTTTTTATCTGATTTAAAAACATATTACTTATTTATAGGTTTCTGCACGGCATTCGATGTTCACGGTGGTATTATCAAAGCTTATTTCGGATACGATTGCAGAGAGTTTGATCCTCCGTGTGAAGACAAGTACAACTCAACAGACGCTTATCTGTGTATGTAAACTCACTAATAAACTCACTGGGTCTAGTTTGCGTTCATTCTGGAGACGTCATTCAGTCTGTTAATACCATTAGGACGGAATGTCGTCAACCTGTGCATCCAGAACTGTTGTTTGCCTTTTTTCTGAGCATCTGTCCATCTTGGGTTATGGTCAATCACCACTACTGTAATGGGCTCCAATTTATGACCCTCAAGGTTGAAATGTTCCCCAGAGGGTTCATTGAGTTTTTGGGTCCTATGGTCGAACGGTGGTTTTTGACTCGACTGGGGAGATCTGTTTAACCAATGTACTATTTGGAGCAAACTTTGCAACTGATGAGATAAATCCAGTTGTCAGTATGACAGGACGAATTCCTTGGTATTTGGTAGCTGCGGCCTGTAACGGGGCTGTGAAAATTCTCTATGTCGTCAGTGTTGTGCTTACAAAGAAGACATCTTCTGTCAGAGCAAGTTTTAAAACCCCCGTTAGGTAATGGGTTGTCCAGTCTGGTTCTTACTACCATGTCCTTTAGGTTCTTTGAGGGTCTGCATGCAGTCAATGGGGGATCCTTAAAGATATCTGCCATTCATTTGTTTGAATGGAGGATTGGTAGGTTCTTTTGAAGGATACCGCTAAGGTTCTCAAAGGACTGGATGATAAGTGGTTACCAGAGAAACCCTGCCGCTATTGTCTTTCTCCTTATAGCGTTATAGGTTTTGTCTGTCATGTCCCGCCATCTCATCAATAGCAGTTTGTACGGTGCGGGCATTGTAGCCCGTTTTGCATAAGTGAGACTTAAGAAGACCACTTTGCTCTTGATATAAGGCAGGGGACGAACAGATGCGTCAAAATCTGGTGGAAAGACCCTTAGACACTCCCTTAAATTTGTATGGGGGATGAAAACTTGTGGGCATAAGGTATATGTTGGAGTCTGTGGGTTTGGTGTGGAGACTGAATTCGATTTCACCATCAATCAGGGTAGAAGTAGTACTTAGAAATACGTTTTTCGAATTCAATACGTCCACTGTAAATTTGATAGAGTGATAGACTGAGGTGTATAGTAAATTAGTGTTAGTGCCAGATGTTTTGTGTTTCTATTTTTTATTGGTTTTATTGACTTTTTAACTTTTTTCTTTGTCCTGAGGAAGGAACAGGGCATATCGAAAAATGAATATTTTTTATTGTTCGTGTCGTTGGTCATTTTAGTGCTCTATCTCTCTCTCTCTCTCTCTCTCTCTCTCTCTCTCTCTCTCTCTCTCTCTCTCTATATATATATATATATATATATATATATATATATATATATATACTGTAAAATCACATATTTTCGTGGGGTCAAATTTTCGTGGTTTGAGGAAAAAATGTTTTCGTGGATGAAGAACCTTTTAGTAGTTGTGCATATGAAAATTTACATTTTGTGGTGGACATAAATTCGTGGGTCTCTTCATACCACGAAAACAACGAAAATTAACCCCCCACGAAAATTAGTGATTTCACAGTATATATATATATATATATATATATATATATATATATATATATATATATATATATATATATATATATATATATATATATATATATATATATAAAGCACAAATTACAACAACTCTTAAACTAATATAACTGCCCTAAGTGAAGAAATATTAATGTAGAAAGCACAGAGAAATTCACTTTTACAAGGATACTCACTTCCGCCCCAGCCCGGGGTTGAACTCTGGACCTACGGAATCTGTCTCCTAGCAGTGCAGAACAGCGCGTTAGACCGCTCGGCTATCTAGGCAAGTTCTAAACTTGCTTTCGATGCCGATGGAATTCTCACAACGCTGCCCTACACTACACGGTCATTGAGAATGGAAGTGAGATACAGTTATTTGGACATTAGTTTTTAGAGGATTGTTACCAATACATGTTGTGATGAAATTAATTTTATTTATAAAGCACAAATTACAACAACTATATTAGTTTAAGAGTTGTTGTAATTTGTGCTTTATAAATAAAATTAATTTCATCACAACATGTATTGGTAACAATCCTCTAAAAACTAATGTCCAAATAACTGTATCTCACTTCCATTCTCAATGACCGTGTAGTGTAGGGCAGCGTTGTGAGAATTCCATCGGCATCGAAAGCAAGTTTAGAACTTGCCTAGATAGCCGAGCGGTCTAACGCGCTGTTCTGCACTGCTAGGAGACAGATTCCGTAGGTCGAGAGTTCAACCCCGGGCTGGGGCGGAAGTGAGTATCCTTATATATATATATATATATATATATATATATATATATTTATATATATATATTTTTTTTTTTTACAGATAAACCATGCTACAATACCAGCAGCAAGCAATCTATTGGTATGTTATGAAGTCCTTTACAGAGAATTAAAATAATATGTATTATTCAGTCACTTTTCATAACAATTTTTATAGAGAATCTCTCGTGATTTGCAGTTGGAAATGATTTTTATCTATCGAGTTGTGTGGTTTTTTTTTTAATCTCTGTTTCTTTGGCGAGGGGAGTAAAACACACAACGAGTACGCGGGTTTGTTAAGGCAGCACATGGATCAGAATTCGGCGAATTAACACTTTTTTATAATTATGTAACACTAATAAATCGGAAAAGTCAAGGATAAAACTTTTACTATAAATATGCATTCTATAGACTTTAATGGGGCTTATACTACAGGAGGCACTTCACCACGACGTCACCACGTGGCGCCTATAATTAGAAAATATGCCTTAATGAAAAAGTGAAAAGTTTAACACTACCCCGGGGATAATTAGTTCCAATTTATATTAATAGTTATGTAAAACATCTATGTACCATGAAAAGTGCTCCTAGAATCCTACTGTCCTCTTATAGAAACAATTATTCAACAATTTTGGACGAAACCTTCACAAATTTTTTACATTTTGTTCATAACATCGAAAAAAATGCATCAATTCCCGTAAACCATACGATTCTAGCAGCACTTTCCAAAAACAAAAGAATAAGAACTTTAGATAGGAACAAAAATTAAGTTCCAAAGTATGTGGCGTAGTGTTGAACTTTTGCATCTTTTTTGTAACAAACGACAGAGGAAAGGCTGATCGGCAAGTAAACACCCTCCCTGCTTTAATTTTACGAAGAAATTGCAGAATTATATTCCCATACCTTATTCATACGCTTTATTCCCACAACAATCACACATGATATTCATTCTAAATGCTTTTAAACTCCGATTTCTTGTGTTTGTTTACATCAATCATCGTTACTTTTCACTTTCACTCTGCTACTGCATGATCAACAGTTATGACGTCACGGGTTTGGTATGTAACCCCCGTGATAACTACAGAGGCCCAGGAACGACAAAATTCCGTTGATATTATTCCTCTGCATATTTTGGTTCATTTTACGACCTCAAATCAATCTTAGATATCGATTTTAAGAAATTGTTTTCTCTAAATCTCACGTCATATAGCTTATTATGACGTCATATCATGTAGGCAAGTTGAATATTTGGTTTTAACCTTAACCTACCTGCGTAGGATAAAAGTCATATTCAACTAATAATCATGGGTGATTCTTTTTATTCCATATTTAATTCTTCACAACTAATATTTTACACTGTTTAAATATATATCACTATATAGGGATCGACTTTATTTTAACGCAAAAACATTGTGAGGTCAAAACTTCACTGAACTGTGGGATACGAAAACGCTACCACAAGAGCTATATCCACGGAATAAAGGGGTAAACATGGAATAAAAAGATATTCTACTTGACCATCTTAATTTCGATGATCAGATACGATTGTCACCATGAATGATGCAAGTGCCTTGTATTACCAAATGTATAACACTGTGGTCAATAGCCTTTTCCAAAATTTTCCAAAATTTCGAGAGAAAAAAATGATCATTGCTCATACGTGTACTTTGCAAAACTAAGGAAACCCCCTTAAAGATTTGCAATTGTCGCATAGTGTTTCATCTAATTGTATATAAAAAACATATACTGGGCTAGGGCATTTTTAATTTAAAAGCTAATACTTCACTAAAAATGAGCAGTCTATGCTATTTTACCTCCTTTTCCTCATATTGAACCGATTAAAACTAATGATTCATTGCACTACCATGAAAAAATGTTATTATACTATCATTCTTCCATCACCTCCCCCTACTTATGCAGCAATATACCTTCATCACCTACATACGCAGTGTTTATATCTCAGTTTATTCGATACGCAAGAGCTTGTACTATGTACGAACAATTTCTAAAACGAGGTAAATTATTCACATGCAAGTTGATGAAACAAGAAAAACATCTGTCTCGTTTAAAGTCATCAGTTAGTAAGTTTATTGGTCGATACAATGACCTTGTCAACAAATACAGTCTAAAGTTGGGTAAAATACTTATTGATTGTATATTGTTTTTAACGTCCCTCTTGAGAATTTTTCACTCATATGGAGACGTCACCAATGCCGGTGAAGGGCTTCAAATTTAGACCTATACTCGGCACTCAGGGCCATTGAGCAGTGAGGGTTCTTTATCGTGCCAACGCCCACCGTGACACGGGACCTACGTTTTTAAGGTCATATCCGAAAGACCCGTGACTTTCACTTCTAGTGCCGAGCGCTTGGCGAAGGACCAGTCACTACCTATTTTTACGTCTTAGGTATGACGCGGCGCCGCGATCGAGAAGCAATCTCGGGCCTCCCGATCACGAAGCGAACGCTCTACCACTATAAAATACTTATTGACGTTTTACATACTAATTGTTAGTCCATTATTTTTACAATGAATTGACGACGGATTTTTTCGTTATTTCCCAAACATGACAAGGAGCTCTCGGCGAGTGTGACTGATCAGCAGGGGATGTTGACTCCTTCCTGGCACTTGATCCCACCTCTGATGTTTTGGAGGTCCGTGTCTGCTCTTATTTTGTATTGTTTTATTGACTTTGAGATTGATTACTGTTCATTTATTATTAATGTTTATTAAACAAATTTTCAAAAGAGTATATCTATTAAAAAAAAAACATTTGAAAATATCAGCAAGTTTGATTTTTTTTAACTTGTATTTACCTGGTCATTTAATAAAAAGCAATTCAATTGTATAAAATAGTCTAAAAATCATTGACAATAGCTATATTCCAGCCTACAAATTATGTTACTCTCATTTGCCATTTATCATATATGTTTAACTTCTTATCAAATTCAAGAATTGAAGATATTTCTGATATTTTGTGTAACGTCCACCACTTGCAGTCATGTTTTTAAAATCAAGATTTCGCCAATGATCTAATTGCATACACGCATAAATTGTCTTTTACTGAGTACTACTTTAGAACATTTCGGTGTTCGATAGTTCTACCTTAAAAACATTTCGGGTTTCGATAGTTTTTGCCCTGTTCGTCCGCCTGTCTGTTTGTCTATGAAACATTTTTTTGTGTGGGTGGGACTGTGGCTTTAATATTATACAGGAATATTCCTTGTATCAAGGCATTTTAAGGTAACCTTGTTGACGTTGGGCCTCTTCTGTCCCTGTGAATTTCTGAAGTCTATAATTACATAGTTGACGATAAAATACATACATTTCAAACCTTTAATTACCCTGTATTTATAAATGATACATGTATGGCAATAATTTTCTGACTATTAATGCATTTCTACATCATGAAATATGCTGTATTATTTTTCTAATTATTGAAAATTATTTTAGAAAAGCCAATTTTTTTTACCTATTATTCAATATTTTATGTAAGGAAGGATATGGTAATAACGAACAGTATTACATTTCAACGTCCATTAAACAAATATACAAAATAAGAGCAGAGCAAACACGGACCTCCGAAACATCAGAGGTGGGATCAGGTGCCATGGAGGAGTGAGCATCCCCTGCCGACCGGTCACACCCGCCGTGTGCTCGTTGTCATAATCAGGAAATAACGGAAGAAAATCCGTGGTCAATTCATTGTATAAATAATGGACTAACAATTGGTATGAAAAACGTCAGTCAGCATTTCATTCAATGATAAATTGTATTTGCTGACAAGGTATCGACCATAGAATTTACGAAATGATGACTTTAAACGAGACTGTTGATATTCTTGTTTCATCAACTTGCTTGTCAATAATTTACCTCGTTTAAGAAATTGTTCATACGTAGAGCATGCTCTTGCGTATCGAATCGACTGAGATATAAATACTCTGAATGCAGGTGATGAAGGTATATTGCTGCGTAAGTAACACTACTGGACGAAAAAAGTGCTGAGAATCCCAAATTTTACTGATAATGTTTGATAATTACTGATACGGTGCTGTTCTTGCTGATAATTACTGATATTTACTGTTATTATTACTGTTGTTGCTGATAATTTTAGTTGTTGCTGATAAATACTGATAATTACTGTCGTCTTTTACTGTGGAGTCTGATAAATACTGATAAATACTGTTGAGGTACTGTCGCTGCTGAGAATTGCTGATAATTACTGTTGAGGTACTGTCGATGCTGAGATTTACTGATAATCACTGTGGTCATTGTTTTTAACCTGGGAATGGATTAAAATAGCCTGTAATGATTATTTGTTGTTTTTTTAAAAGGTATTTTAACAAGTTCATTACAGTCAATTACAAAATAAATCATTCTAAATAAAAAAAGTCACATTTTATTAATTTGTATTCAGATTTCATCTATTAATTTCATTATAATTATTTTTAGACCATAATGTTAACATAAGCTTTCATAAATGTTTATGTTTTTTCTTTAAATTTCTCCTTATACGTAGATGACATTATCTGAGGAAAATTATTCTGTTTTTAGAGTGGTTTTTCTTCCCAAGTACTTTTTTAAAAAGTTTAATTTTTGTTCATAAAGGTTAAAAAAAAATCTCATCTCATATTTTTTCTCACATGTATGTGTACTGTCATCAAAAGCTTTTTGTGGGTATCTTTAATACTTCAACACAGTCAATGGTTGTAAATATCAATTTATGTTACCGTGTGGAGAATTGAAAATGCATGAGCACATTAAGTTGAAAACACCCCCTCCCCTTTTCCAATAACTTTTAAATTAAGCTCTCATTTTAACAAGACAGTATTAAATATTTTTCATAAAATCTAGTCTTGAAGCGTACACTTTGTTATTTTATAGAAGAATGTGCCAGGGTTAAATAATTAAATTGAAGCATCTATAATCATTTTTTAATATACTAGTATATTATGTAGACAGCGCGCTCTAGTTCTCCGATGTCCTCCCTGCGAATTTTATATCGTGTCGCTTTCTAGCTTTCTCTCTCTCTCTCTCTCTCTCTCTCTCTCTTAAATTATTTGTTAAGGCTTAAGTATTGTACACTACATGACATAAATCTTA